ACTGAGCTATCTGGCCAGGGCCTGTTTCATAGTTTTAAAGCATTTTCAAATTTGGTTTTGTTTCTATTTATTGAAAGAATACAAAAGCCCACATCAGTGAGCTTTTGCTGTAAACATGCTGTGAAAGAAGCTACCCCAAAACTCAGTGGCTTAAAACAACAGTCATTCATTTTCATGAATTTTCAAGTTGTCTGGTATTAGCTGGTACAGAGTGAGCTTAGCTAGGGTAGGAGGGATTTTTAAATAAGGATTAGTTTTATAAGAGTTCAGTTCAGTAGGAAATTTTTTGTGCTTTGACATATTTTCTTTCTATGAAGCAAACCTCAACACTGTCCAGATTCTAATCCTGGTTCTGTTCCATACTAACTGGGTTATCTTGAACAATTTACTTAATCTTTCAATGCCTTTTTCCTTCACCTGTTAAATGGGGATAACAATGACACTTATTTTACTGGTGTTTGTGAAGACAGAATGAGATAATTTACCTAGCACATACGGAGTATTTACTAAATGTTAGCTTTTCTCGCTATTGAGAGAAAAGGTATCTCTGATTATGATTAAGGGGTTAATGAATTGGTCAGAGAAAGAGGAAAAAAGCTTGGAGTTGGAGAAAGATGCAGGGTTTGAATTTATCTCTAGCTCTCTAATTAAATAAATCAAGAAAGCTGGTAGAACCAAGTTTTCTTTATTTATGAAATATTTATAAGGTGTCATTTACTGTGTGCCAGATTCTTTCCAAGAACCTAACAAATATGAACTCATTTAATTTTCATATTAACCCTAGGAGATAGATATTATTATCTCTATTTTATAGATGAGGAAATCTAGACACAGAGAGGTTATGTAGCTTCCCCAAGGTCACACAGCTTGTAAGTGGCACAGCTGGGATTCAAGTGCAGGGGAGTCTGGTTGCAGAATCTGTGGTCTTCAGTCTGTGGTCCTTTTCTACTACAGGGATCAGCACGAAGGAGGCCAGGCCGAGGTGGTACCTGGTCCTGAATGTACATATTTAATTGTATGTTCTGAGGATGTGACTATTCCTTCCTTATAAACCTGAAGGTTTGAAGCAGTTCTGTTTTCTGTGTCTGTTTTGTCTTATTTCTCTCCTCTGTCCAGCTTATCCCAGGATGGGAAGGAGATTCCATGAGAATGAACTGCCGGCTGCTGGAGGATCGCTTCACCAGGCTGTGAAGCTTTCTTGGGCTTTCTGACGTCTCTTTCTCCTTTATATAGGGGTATATAGGGGTGGGGGGAGGTCAGGATGACTACATCAGGTTGTGTTTGCTCTTCAGCAATAGGATTTTTATTGCTAACTTAAAGAATATGGGATGAGTGAAAACATACTAGGGTTTACCTCTAACTCTATCCTTACAAAGGAAAACACACCATGCTAATAAATCTTCCATACTAAAATATATCCACACAGGGCAAAGCATGATGCTTGGAAATCTAAATGAATTGAATTTTACTTTTGTGCCTTTTGGGGGACATAGTTCCAGCACACGGAGTACGCAGCTCTGAAATGCTGTCCTGTGGGTCAGCATTACAGGTAACTGCCCATTTTAGCTCTAAGACTATGATTTATATTAAACTTAGTCAAAGCTCTCAAACTCTCAGCCACATCAAACTGCAATCGTCGCAAGCAGGCTGGTCCACATGTGCAGTGATGCTCAGTGTTTGGAATTACGTGTTTTTATTTGGTTTTGTTGGTGTGGCAGCTGAAGCAGCTCTCTTTGATCCAACAAAGATAGGGTGGTTTTTTATTAAAAATTTAACATGTATCTCATAGCAATATTTACTTTAATGTGGTAAATCAAGAGGTTCTTCTTTTTCTGAATGAGATATGTTGGTAAGATAAGCTCGGTGCTATAAGATAAATATTAACTTTCTAATGAAAACCACAGAACTCCACCCTGGTACACTGCATCTGCATTTCTCTAAGGAGATGGAAACTGTTCTTGATTCTTGCTCTACCTGTGTGAGAGGTAATGGTTTGAATTTTAATCCTTAATTATTTGTCCTAGCTCCCTTTATGGTGACATCTCATCTTGTGTGTTCTTCAACTTCTAATTTTAAAAATATTGAGTATGTTTGCTCATGCAAAAGACTAGCTGATTCAAGAATTACAAAAGTACAACCTTGGCACTTTTACATGCACGCGACCATGGGGAAAATGCAAACTTTAGTAGGCTAAATTCATTAGTGAAAGGGAGATTTTGAAAGTTTTGAAGTTAAAAAAATATCTTATAGGAACTCTGGTGGACACAACCTGAAATCCAATTAGAAAATGTTTGACTGGAGTTCAAAGGTCACCTGTTATAGTTTTGATAAAGTTAGTGCTCTGGAAAGAACTGAGATATACTACTTTTCGCCACAATGATTGTCCATGTCTGGGTACCTTCATACAGTGGCACCGGTCATGAATCCTGTAAGTGACCTATTAATAACCGCAATATGAATGAAATGTGCTGCCTAGAAAATGAGGTTGCCTGGCTCTCATAAAATATCAGTTTCTTTTCATAATTTACAGGATGTGTTGTCCAAGGAGATGAAGTATTTCATGTTGGTCAGTTTGGGCTCTGCATAGACCTAATACTATGTGGAATGTTTTTAATGGTTGACTGATAAAACATTGTTTCCTGCAACTCAGCCCTTTTTTGATTACAAACATCAAGGCTACAAACGCAATTTCTTACTTGGTTTCTCTCTCAGGGTGTTACAAATATTAGAGACCTAAATAAAGCAACCAAGCAACTATATTGTCACTGTGTGCTTTTTAACATGTGAAAATTTCAGAATTAAAGATGTGGTTCTTCCTTTCAAGAGGCTGATAGTCGAGGAAGCAATAGATAAACTCTCTGTGAAAATTATATTAATCAACCAATTCCATCAGTTTTCTCATACTTAACATATGTAGGGAATCATAGTTAGAGATAAATAAGTTTTTAATCTTCCCTTGAAGCTCATGTATGTTGAGTTACTAGCAGGAAACTTGGGGTGCAAAGAGTAGAGGTGAAATGCTAGGGACATTTATAGCTCATCCAATGTTTACAAAGAAGATAGAAAGATTCTATATTTTAAAAAAATAAGTTGTGTATTTTCAAAGCATCTAGGTGTTTAAATTATAGCCATTCTTTGAAATTTGCAAGGTGTTTGACGAAACATGAGTCATATAATCAAGCTTGTAAATAATCTGTGTAAAAGAATATTGCAAAATTTCTATTTGGCATCCTACATGTGCTTGGACTTGATCTCTTTTGACAAGTCCCATGTTCTCTCTGTCCAGGTGTTTCCATCCCAGGCCTAGGAGAGTTATGACAAGAATGGTTGTGGGTCTCAGTCAGAATAAGATTCCGGAGGACACCCTCCTATTGTACCTGTGCTGGATTTTTGGAGGGGACAGAAACTGAGGAGACGTAAACTTCCAAAGAACACTGCAGAATGGTGACTGGAATGTTGGGAGGGAGCAGGGCACACTCACAGGCTAATTATCCTTTATTGTGGTTTATGCTTATGTTCTGCCTTCCCTTCCATACCCTGAAAAGGTAAAACCTGTTTGTCATTTTATAGGTCAAAAGAATGGTCCAATAGCAGCAGTTTCAAATGGTTCAGATGGAATACAATGCACTGCTTAAACAGGAGACAGATTGAATTTTCCCCACATCTTTGTTCCCTTCCCCTCCCCCCAGCAGTGTGACCTTGGGCAAGTCTCTTAATCTGCATGAGCCTTACTTTCCACACTTGTAAAATGGGTCAAAACATACACTTCCTCATAGGGCTGCTGAAAATATTAAATTATTAATAAATAATGCACATGTATTTGTGCCTGGTGTGTAACAAATACACTCTAAGTGGTATCTATGACGTTTCTTATATATCGTTCCCATTTCTGAGTCCAGCACCATCCAAGCTTATACTAGGCACTAATTAATGATTATTGAATAAAAAACAGCCAAGTTGAAGCCTATGGTTATGGTAAATGCCCAACAAATACATGCTACATGAGTGAGAGGTTCTTGTCTCAGATCAAATGGCCCAGGGAACCACCTGGGAGTTACTCATCTCAAGGGTTAGCTCTGGGAAATCTAGCCTGCGGGGAGCTCCACTTCAAACAGGGATTCTCAGGAAAAGCAAATCAGAAGTGAATTTGAAGGAGAGGCACAATACATTGTTTCTTATTAGGCCTGCTGTTTGATTTTCATTAGGCATCCTGCCTGATTCTTATTAGGACTGCTCTGATTTCCTTTAGGTCTTGGTCATTTAGGGTCAGTGCTTATGTGCTATATAATGATGTCATTATTTGACTTTATTACATACATGATGTAGGTAATGATTCAGGGTTTATTCCCGAAAATAATCCTAAGCACCTAATGCTGATTGGTTTAATGATACAAAAACTAATTTGGAAAGAATGGAAGGTTTCCTGGGGCACAGCTGATGATGTGAATGTGAAAAGGCTTCATTTCCCACATTTAAAGACTGGAAACAACATGCAATTACGTGCTCTTCGATGAGGTGTTTTCTTTGAAATGGTAGAACTTGGAAACTTTCCATATGAGAAAGGTGGAAAAATTTAAGTAACTGTGCCAAGATCAGTTTTCCTTTTTTATTTCCTTTATTATTGTTATATTTATTCTTGGCTATAAACATATGCCTTCTCTCTCTTTTTCCCCCCTGTTCTTTAATATGAAAACCTAATGGGGAGACTGATGAGATTGGCCAAGTCTCTGAAATTAAAATGAACTTTGTAATTTTGTTTATCAGCTTGGGGTCAATGACATAGAAATTCTGTAAGTTATAAATGTAAATATGAACATGAATTCCATGTGCTGAATTCATTCATGCAGAAGGCAGGCCCAGTCCGGCTCCCTGCCATCACCCACCTCCAACCAGTTAACAATTAGCTAGTTAAATAAGCCACCTTGGCGTTCTTTATGTTGGTTTTGTTTGGCACCCTCTGGTGCTTATCCAAGCTCTTTGAGAGAGATTTGTGCTTGAATCGGATCCTTGGGATACATTAAGAAAGGTGAGAAACTGGCCATTTCTTCCTTTTAATGCTTTTCCTTAGGATGGGATGGACTAGGAGAGCCCACGAAATGACCCCAGCCACTCACCATAGACATCATTTCAAGTACCAACTTCACCAACTTGAGTTTTTAAACTGGCCTTGATTAGGTGAGTAAATTACTCACTATTTCTATTGTTTTGATTTTCTAAATCACCCTTGTCTTACCTCATGATGCCTGATTTCTACCACTCATTTATCTCTTGTCTCTCTTACTGGATTTGTTTTATTCTCATCATTTTTTTGTTCTTGACTTTTTTTTCCTTATGGATATTTCCCCGTCAAGGTTATTTTTACAGCTGGAAGTGGAGATTGTAAATATGACCGTTACACATAGAACATGAGTTGTTTCTTCTGTTCACTTCCTTTCCTCCTCCGAGGTGCTATCTACATATTCTCCCTTCTGCCCTTTGCCGGGTACCAAAATGGCATGCTCCCCGAACTTTATCAGTTCCCTCCTCAGTGGTTTTTAAGCTTGGCATTTTATCTCTGCTTGTGGTTGTCAAAAAGGAGTTTTGCCCAATTTCTTTATTTGTTCTTAAATGCAATGGGGCAGAAAGCCAAAGAGCAAAGGGAGCCTAAGGGAGAGAAAGGTGAACAGGGTCAGGGGAGCCAAGCTCCATCCCTGACCTTGTTGATTTGCTGGGTGTCCTTGGGCCACCCTGACTGCTCATAGTCCTCACATGCAAAATGAGGGGCTCCACTGATGCATCCAGGGTCATTTCCAGTGCACATTAGATCATTTCCTCACCTATGAAATGGCCACACTGATATGTTTGCTTTATAGAATTTAAACTGAGGGTTAAATCAGGTCACATATGTATATGTACGTGTGTTTTACATGGTGTCTGTCATGGAGTAAGAGCTCACAAACTCAATAATAGTAAAATCCTGCAGAAGAGCTAATTGGATATATTCCTCTGTCCAGCCCCTGTTCTCAACTAAAATTATTTTCTTATATGGGAGGGATGGAGGGAGGGCAAAATGGGGCTGTGTCGGGGTGGGGGTGGGGGAAGAGTTCCCAAGAAGGTTCCTGAGAGGGTAAGTCCCTGGGCCCCTAGTATTCTTCCAGCTCAACCACCTTGAATCAGTTTCCAGCTAAGCAGCAGAGCCCTTGAATGACTCACTGCCCCTGTCCTGGGAGTACCCATCAGCCAGAACACATAAAGAAGAATCAGGGTGTCAGGCAGAATGCACAGCTCCTCCCAGACAGCAGCCAACAGCAGCTGGAATGAGGTGGGATCTGAATCATGCAGCCAAACCCTGGAACAACCCTGCTAGCTGAGCAGGAACACCAGCAACTTGGTTTACCGTGCAATAACATGACCTTGCATTTTATAAATGTAAAGGTTTTAGACTCCATTTATCATATTTAGTTTAGTTCTGTGTGAAATATACCTATTAACAGAGAACGTTGTTACAATTCCCCAGATCCAAGACCCTAACTATAGATACCCTCTTTCTTCTTGTTGCTAATGTCTAGTATCTTAGAATCACTCAAGACTATTTTGGTTCCAAGCAATAGAGGTCTAACTCAAACTGGCTTATATATCAAAAAAGGATTTATTAGCTCAAATATTTGAAAAATCAGGCTTAGCTACCTTCAGGGACTCAAAAAAGGTCAATTAGGGCTTGGTCTTTTTCTCTTCTTCTCTACTGTACCCTTTGCCCAAACTTCTCTCTTCTCTGTTGATTAAAGTCTCAGACAAGCTCTTGTCTTGTGGCTGCCTAGGTAAATTTCAGCTTCAAATCTAGCAGATATAGAGCTTTTCTTTCATAATTGTGTCTCACTGTACTGACCAGGGTCACATACTTTTTTTCGCCCAATTAGTTTGTCCATTGAGATGGAATGTATGGATTGTTCAGTCCAGTCACTGCCCCACTCCTGTGGGGACAGGCTGGTATTCCAAAAGGAAAGTGTTTTTTTTTTTTTTTTAAACCACAGCCCTTTGCAGAAGGGTGAATAAATGCTAGACAGGTAAAAATCAACAGATGCCTATTTCTTTACTGGAATTTGGAACTTAAAAAAAGAAAAAAAATGCTTTTAATTGTGCAGTTGAATATTCAGAATGAATCCTAGTTTCTAGGTTGAATGCCCTGCAGATGCCAGTGTTTAAGGTGATAATTATGAACATGGAAATATGCTTATGGTATAATGATAGTAGAAAAACATAGAATACAAATTTTATGTTCACAGTGGTCACAGTTATAGAAAGTCTGGAAGGGAAGTTTAAAATATGAAAATAGTGATTTTAATTCAAATGAGAATGTTTATGGATACTTTTCCCTTTGAAAAATATCTTTATCTATATGGTTTTCAAAAAAAGAAAAGAGAAAGTTCAGTGAATGAATGAAAGTTGACCTCATTAAAAAAGAATGTGTATATGCAGTTTGTCTTGACAGCAGGACAACTGCCGTCAGCGTGTCAGTAGCTTCAAGAGATCCCTGTGTCCTTCATAGCAGGGTGCTTGGGTCAAATGTTCCACTTTCTTTTTTACTGAAGACTGGCCCTGCATTTCACTGATTTCACACATTACTGAGATATTACACTTTTATTCAGTCTTACTAGATATTAATCCTTCACATTTTCTAACCTTGATATCCCTCACTTTGATTTCTGTTTTGTCCCATAAGCATAGCATTAAATTATCCCATCTCTTCTCTCTGCCCTTGCTTCAAGGTTGCACTACTCAGTTATGAGTCCTGTGTTAGGGGCAGTCAGGGATAGGCAACTCAGGTCAGCATGGCACTCCAGCAATGCCACCAGGTTCCCGGGCTCTCTATATTTTTCCATCCTGCCATCTAATTTAAGAGTTATACTTGAAAACCTGCTTATTATTATTATTTTTTATCATTTGTCTATTTATTTTTATTTAGGATCACTGATATTTTAAAGGAGAAAAAGAGTAAAATTTAACTGACTTTTGAGTAAGCTATTCCAATATTTAAAAATTAAATTTTTAGGACATTTTCCCTTATTTTCAAGTAAATTTTGTGATGTAATCTATGCCTTTTTATTTCTGTTCTCTCTTTGCTAGAGGGAAAGAAGAGTGTACTATTGTTATTTATGGAAGAGTTCTTAACCTTTGTGGGTCAATCTAATATTAGTAGTGTCCAATCACATTGCCATAGGTGGTGACTCCATAAATGGTGTTTGTTATAGTGATAGTGGTAGGAGTTAAATAAAATTTAGAAAAATAAGAGATCTGCTTTGCAGTTTCAGTACACACTGCCTCTATGTAGTTCAATCCAAGTTAAATAGGACAGTTCACCCTGGCTTTTGGCCAGACTAAGGCAACATTTATTGGTAAGTAGCTCTTAGCAAATTGGAGGGTGCAAGGGATTCTTGTAAAAGAGAGAAGATACATGCAGTCTTGGATGCAAACCTTGAGTGGTGGATGAGAGCCTCTGATGAGATATTCCTCATTTCCTTAAAGCTATAGAGTTCTGTACAATTTCCTCACTCCAGCAACGTTATTTTAAGGATTATTTATGTGCATTTATATTGAAGGAATGACAGAGGGAGGTGAAACTTTTATAGTTCTTGCACTGCACAGATTCATTAGATCAAATTAACACCAAAGTAGTGAAGGAAATACAGTTAGTAACTGTGTGGTTCAGAGAGAAAAATTATGCTTAAATATTGAGCATCTGCAGACAGAAAGACTGAGACCTCTTCGTTGTTAGCATGTCACCCTCAAGATGGAAGTGAGCTCCCCAGCAAGAAATGAAGAAGGAAAGTATGTCAGATAAAGAAGTAAGGGCAGGACTTAGGAAAAAAGAGGACTGCGTCTGGGACAGAGATACAACCCATGTCTGCTGGCTAGTGCTTCCCTAGTTCCCCAGGAATGAAGGGTTGGCCATTAACACCAAACCCACACTGCAGTGATGCTTGGGTTAGCTTGTAATTATATAGACACTTAAAATTAACTGTGAGGTAAGTTCTTTGTGGGTTTTTGTTCTCAATGACTTTATAAGCTTTCTCTTAAATTTCTGCTTTGAAAAAAGTGTATTCTACAGATAAACTCAACCCACATTTGCAGTTAATATCCAGGTTTATGCTCAATCTACACCCTCTGTGTCTTCAAAGGACTTTTCAATTTATTGATGTATGTCAGTGATCAGAGGCTAAAGTCAAGAGTTAAAACGATTGAGTGAAACAGTATAAACAATTATTAATAACAAGTTCACAGTCTTATTTGCAAGGGTATATCAGGGCATAGACTTAGGCTCACAGAAGGAAAAGAGATGGATGCTAGACATGGATGAAGAACGGAAGCAAATGGAAACGGAGAGTCTCTTTTTCTGTCACCTCTCTATCCACAAAGGCTTCTCAAGAAAAGATGTTGAAAATGGAAGAAGAGGGACCCAGAAAAAGTTATCTTCTTCCCCTTCTTCTGAACCTCTGATGTGTTTAGTAAAGAGCTTTTTCACCAATCCCTGTTTCACCCATACAACAACCCAAAAACATAGACTGAATGAAAATCATTAATTTCATAGACAGATGAAGTAACAGCCTCAAGAAAATTTAGTGATTGGCCTAAGGTTGATCTTAGATTGTAACTTGGGTCTTCCGTCTCCCAATATGTTTCTGTTTTCACTAAGGCATTTTATTCATGTGTGTTATTTGACATTGAACTACTCTTTGTTCCTTTGTGCTATTAATGTCTATTAAAAGAAAATTGGAATCTGGGCAGTGGAGCAGTATAGGATTAGAAATCAAACAATATATATCTAATTAATTCAATGAATACTTGATTAATATTTGGCAGTTGCATTTTCATTACAATATAATTAATTAGAATTTCTAGATAAACAACTTCACGCAGTTGCTGTGAGAATTAAATGTGATAATGCATGTGAAAGTGTCTACCACAGTGACTGGCAGTTAGAAGGGACTCAATTAGTTGAATATGAATCTTATCAAGATTGATTTGCAGGAGGATTTCTTTGAGGTAAAGTTTGCTCTGTGGCAGAGAACTAAAAATGGAGAAGTACCATTTAATGCCATCATTAGTTAATAACTAATTTTTGAAAAGTGAACCTCAGGATTTCAGCTTGGGGTTTCTTGCTGCATACCTTACCATCATTTAAAAACCAGGATCTCCAA